CCCACACATCCAACACGTCCCACACATCCAACACGTCCAACTGTCCCACACATCCAACACGTCCAACCGTCCCACACATCCAACACGTCCAACCGTCCCACACATCCAACACGTCCAACCGTCCCACACATCCAACACATCCAACCGTCCCACACATCCAACACATCCAACCGTCCCACACGTCCATCTTTGTGCTACAGTCTGAGCAGGAAGAGACCAAATCTTTGTGTAGTCGTTCACAGAACTTTGACAGAAGAAAAAAAAGTAAATCATTTAAAATCTTTCAAAGTCTGGAAACCGGTCCTCTCGTGCTCACCGTGTGACTGACCCGGGTCCTGTTCCAGAACCACCTGCAGAAAACCTTTGGTTCTGGTCAGAATGAGTCCAAATGTTCCAGCCGTTTGAGTCAAATTAAAAAACTTTTTCTGGAAACAGATACGACTGGAGTAAAACCAGTCAGAACCAGGAATGACCCAGTCCTGGTCCAATCAGAGCCAGTTCTGATCCAGAAGCTGAAGAACCTTAAGGACCAATGGACTCTGGACATGACAGAACCTCCTGTGGAGCTGTCAGCAATAGCTGAAAGGTTTCCATGGAAACCAGACAGACAGGAAATGATGCACTAAACTGTCAGAAAATTGGGTTTTGGTCTTGAGGTTCTTCAGAACCGGATCGTTTGGATCTTCATTAATGAAAGAGGCCGATGCTGGACGGAAGCCCGGCTCTGTTGGAACCGGTCTGGTCCTTCAGCCACGAGTCTGTCCAGAACTTTTAATTCTGTTTGAAGAACCGAACCAACCACGCGTCAGCGTTTAAGACCGACCACCACCTGGGTCAGAACCAGACTCTGGACCAGACGGAGACTGTGTGGACAAATTAACAACATTAAACGAAAACACTGCAGTTCTTCAAAATGCACGTGCAACATGTGCACGTGACACGTCTGCAAAGATGTACAAGAAATGTAAAGCAGGAGGAGACGTCAACTCTGAGGAGGAGCTGCCCTGACCTGGGAGACATGTCCAGCATGTCCCCCGCCTGACTGCACTGGGTCCAGGGGACGTCCAAGGACATGGGACGGTTCCGGAGATCTCAGAGCTGGATCCTGGTCCATGCTGGTCCAGAAACACCAGAACATCTCCACCTGTGGGAACACACCTGGATCAGGTGTTACTGCGTCATAGACACCTGACCGTTACAGAACCAGGTGTGTCCTGGGTCCTTAAGGTGTCCACCCCCACGCGAGGTGTGGGCCTCCTTCTCTAGCGGAGGGATACACAGCAGCAGAGCTGAACCTCTACCTGCCTCACAGGTGAGCTCTAGTTCACCGAATCTCCTCCGACCCCCTGGATCCATCAAATCCGGTCCGAGCCGCTGACGTCAATGGGATCACGGGTTCGGTCGGGAGGCTACAGCTAGCTGCTAACGGTGTTGTGCAGAAATCTTTGTCCCGTTTCGTTGGGTCTCCCGTTGTCCAACAAGCCGTCACACACAGCTGGAAATATGTTTTATTCTAATTTAACTTTAGACACGTGCATGAAGCTCGTTTGTTCAGGCGGCTGCTTCATAAACACACAGAAAACTGGGGGGTACGAAATCTGCCACAACACCGTGTTGTGAACCAAGCCGCTCCAGAAAACTAAACGGAGTTCCTGAGCCCGACTGGGACCGACTGGAACCGACTGGGACCGACTGGGACCGACTGGGACCGACTGGAACCGACTGGGACCGACTGGACTGCAGCCCCGCACGTCCCCGCCCGGATCGTTAGCTGGAGCCGAACCGGAAAAATTAACTTCCCTAATTCCCGCGTCTCGTTCCGTGTCGGACAGAAACGGGCCTGAGTCCGGTTCACGTCCACATCAAAACCCCGAACCGAGCTCAAATCTTACCTGCGAACCGGCTCCAGCTGTGATTCGGTCCGTTTTATGTCGGAGGGCGTGCTCGCTGCTCGGACTCACTCAGCAGACTGGGTCCGCTTCTTCCTGGATGTGCGTGAATTTACCCAGCAGCCACCGCGGCGCGTTTCCGCCCTTCTTCGCGGGACTGATTCCTTCGCCATATAAGGAGCGTGAAGGCTGAGGGCGGTCTGGAGCTCTGTCGACACACAGGAAGGAGAAGTTCCTCCTCTCAAGGTCTCCTCCTGCAGCAAGGTCCATCCCAACAAGAAACATGATTTGACAAAGACTCAAACTACGTCCCTGCTTCTCCTGGGGCGGGATGTTTCCAGGTCAGAGGAAGAATCCCTGTAGGGGTACCCCAAGGCTCTGTGCTGGGACACCTCCAATGCACCAAGGAACAGACCTTCAGTGGGTTCAGTCCTGTTGGTGTCTTCATTTAACCAGGAAAACAACTTCCTGGTCTGCTGCCTTCATACATCTCCTCCTACATGTCTCTGTGTGAGTGCAGCTACAGCGTGCGCTCTCAGGACATCATTATCTGCAGTGTTCCCTCAGTGAGGACTGAACTAGACAAAAGGACAAAAAAGGTTGAATCATGTCATCTGGACTTCGTTTTTTTGTTAAAAAGAAACGTTTCGCCCCTCATCCAAGAGGCTTCGTCAGTCTGAGGCCTAGCCATCTGGTATTACCCAGAAGCCACCCTGACTCTTGTGTTTCAAGCCTGCCTCAGATACCCCTGAAGTCTGGCCTTTTCACTAATGGTTTCAAAAACACAAAGTTTGTTTTCTCAGTCATCCAGGTATATAACCTGTT